GCAGTGGGGGGGTGGGGGGAGAGGGGGTGCTGGGGGGGGCAGGATGGTGACTTGGGCTTGGGACATGGGCTGAGCTTTTGGGGGAAGAAGTAACCCCAGAGGTCATCCAGTTCACACATGAGGAAACCCAGGCTCAGCGGGGAGGGGGGGCGTGGCCACCTGGCCAGGACACCAAGCTGGTCGGTGTCGGGGCCGAGGCCAGGGACCCAGCCAGGGTCAGTCCCTCACCTAACACATAGTGTGAGGCCGGGGCCGGGCTGGGTCCGGGCTGCGCTTGGGAGCCCCGCAAGCAAATCAGACCCAACCCCCCACCTTCAGGGGTTCCCTATCCGGTGGAAGGGACACGGCCATGATTACCACCTGATCGACGGGGTCCCCACAGGGCATGGTGGGGACTCAGAGGCCAGGCTTCCCTGGGAGGGACATGGGGGAAGGAGGGAAGGGGGCGTAACTAAGGAGGGATGGCAACACCACGATTCTCAGAAGCGGGGGGTATGTGCCAAGTGCATCTCGTGGCGCCACCCAACAAGCTACGAGGTATCGTTGTTCCCATTTTACAGATGAGGTTGAGAAAGACTGAGCAGATTACCCAGGGCCACACAGGTTCCCGTGCTCTTAATCCCTGCTTCCTGGAAAAGGGGCGCTGGAGCTGAGGCCTGATGGACGAGTAGGAGTTTTCCAAGAGACAGGGAGGGAGAGGGAGGCACCAGGAGGAGGAACCGACATGTCTCAAGGCCCAGAGGCGCTGGTGGTCTGTAGTCCGGGGCCACCCATGTGGCTCTCCCGGTCCCGCGCCCCATCCCCGGTCCCCTCACCGCACAGGCTCCCGAGGCCTTCCCAGCACAGTGCTCTCCCACCCACACGTCCCCCTGCACCCTCACTCCAGCCCACGACGACCCTGCATGGCCACCCTGTCCCGCAACAAAGCTGGCTGTTAAGCACACCGCTGTCTAGGGGGGGGCCTTTCCTGGTTCCCCCGGAGGCTTCTGGGTTCTCTTAAGGTCCCGGCCCAGACTTGGGCTCTTGAGGGACTTGCTCTCGCACAGAATCCTTTAGCATTTTCTGGTCGCCCCGGATTAAGACCCAAACTTCTCCCTAAGAGCCCTTCCAGCTCCATCACCAGCCAATCTTTCCAGCTGCGCCTTCAACTGCTCCCTTCGCGCCCCCCCTGCTCCAGCCGCACAAAGTAAGATGCTACGTGTTGAATAGGCCCTCGCTTTCCAGAAGCCACACCTTTGCTTGTGCCGTTGGCTCCCCCTGGAACGCCTTTGCCTCCTCTTTGCCTCCTGAAATCCTAACCGCTGGGTAAGGTTTATTCACAAGTGGCGCTCCATAAATGTTCTTTGAGTGGCTCACCCTGCAACCAGGCTGATCTTGGGGCCCCGGGAGACCCTGACTCCTGTCGCCTGGCTCAGGACAGAAGCCCACCAGAACCCCCTCGCCATCCCAGTCGGCTTGTAGTCTCCCGGAGAATGGGGCCCTCGTGGAGGACAGACGGCCCTCAGGTTCATCCTTCAAAGCCCAACTCGGATGCTACCTCGGTCAAACGGTCTTGCCTAGATAATAGTCCTCCATTAACGCTCACCCTGCTGCCTTGCACGTGCCCCGATGGTCACACTCATGGCACTGGGCGGTGCTTGTCTGTCTGTGCGTCCATTGCCCCACCAGACCACAGCCAACTGAGGCAAGACAGGCCCTTCTTTAAGGCTGAGCTCTCCGCCTGGTGCCCCACGGGCTTGAATTGACTCCGTCGCGGTCTTGGGCAAATCATCCCTTGGCCCCGGGCCTCAGTTTCCCCCTCCTTACAAACTAGACTTCGCTGGGGTAACCTCCAAAGACCTTCTGCCCTTCACATTCTAGGATTCTGAGAATATGGGCCCTCCCTCTCCCCATCGTCTCTAACCTTCAAGTCTCCTTCTGGAACCTCCCAGCCCTCCCTGGCAGCCTTCACCCCTCCCCCCCCCCCACACACACACACAACAGACCACACCGCTCATGCCTCAGGTGCCTGAACTCCAGGTTCCTGGGCGCTCTTTTCTCTCAGGCTCTGGGTTCCTGAAAGGGCAGAGGCCTTGCCCGCCCACCCCTGGCCCTGCCCAGTCGGCACCCTTAAGTGCCCGTCAATGGGTTGCGACGGAGCCAGCAGCCGGGGCCTGCGGGGCCTTTTGTGAACCTGGGAGTCCCTGTTCAGACAGGCCCAGAGTCGCCTGCCCATCACAGCGGGGCTCCCCCTCGACCCCCCTGGGCCAACAGCCACATCTCGCTTTCTGCCTGTTTTGCTCCAACCTCAGATGCATATGTTTGGGAGTGTGTGGGGTTAGACGGCTGCCCATCCTACACAGAGAATTCCAGGGGACCTTGTGGCCACTGTCCTCTCTCAATCTCCGCCTTCTCCTTCATCTCCGGAGCACCCCCTGAGACAGATGTGCACAGGCCAACCCACACACGGGCCCACCCAGAGACTGACGCGTGTGCGTGCATAAGCGTGCACACGCACCCGCACACGGAGGGTCATGAAGCCCCCACCAGTCACCCGGTACTGACACTTGGGGCACCGGGAGGGGTCACTCGTGCCATCGGGTCTGTTGACTGCCGGGGAACCATGTGAGGTTGCTAGAAGGGGCTCTGAACCCCTTGCTGGTCCTGAAATCCGAGTGCCAAACGCTTCCCACCCCGGCCCTGCCTCCCTAAGTATCCGGAGCCCCTCAGGGCTCTCGTGGGGACGACCCCCTTCAATCCGACCTCCTCTCACCGGCTCTCACACGCCCCTGGGCAGAGGCAGGGCTCAGGATGGGAACAAGCTACAGGACGGCAGGACAAGCTCCCAGTCCATCCCGGAAGGCTCCAGGGAGCGGGCGGCCTCTTGGGTGATGCGGGTAGAATGGTTTAGAGCGAGGACTCTGACGCCTCCTCCCCGGGGGGGCCAGGTGACCATCAGCCAAAGCCCAACCTCTCTGGATCTCAGTGGCCCCGTCTGTAGGACAGTGGTAGGTAAGAGCGCCTACCTCGTGCAGCTGTCATGCCTGGGCGAGCGAGCGGACGTCGCCCGCAGGGCCTGGCACCCAGCAAGTGTTCACTGAACCTTAGCCGCTGCCGTTAGGAGGTTAGACGAGGGGTGTCCAGCCCTCCGTGCTCCTTCCCGGCGCACGGAGGGCTGTGCACTCGCCCTGGGCTGGGTGCTGGGGAAAGCACCCAAGGCCCCTGCCCTCAGCGAGCTCACGAAGATGGGAGGGGAGGTGCAGACAGGGGGAGAGCGGTGCCCCGTGCAGGTGCGTGGATGCGGGCGCACACACGTGCGCTCTCTGCAGGTGCTGCGGGACACCCACAGGACGGTTGAGGGGCCAGGCCCTGATGGCCATGCCCTGAGCGACAAGGGACCCCCCCCCCCACAAAAGAGAAGAGGTGTGGCCCCAGAACAGCCATATGCTGAATCCACCAGTTTCAGGACCCTCGCCACCAGCAAGGGAAGCTGCTACCAAGCCCTTTCCCCCCTCATTATGCACCAGGCCCCCAGCCCCACGCAGGGCGATGCACCTGCTTCTCGCACCTCCGCACCCGCAGCCTTGTCCGTGCAGCCACTCCCATAGGCGCCACCTCCCCTAAGAGGTACGTGACCCTCGGGGGCTTTGCTGTAATCATTAGCGCCTGTCTGTCCTTGACCGCTAGTTGAGTGAATGAATGAATGAACGAACGCGCGCGCGCGCAGGAAGGAATGGAGTCACTGCCACATGCCCCCTAGACACTGGTGATTCACCTGAGGACCGACACCATCCCGCACCCCGTGACTGCACCACACACGCCACGGGAGCTCTGGCTCACATCCAGCCGGGCCATCACCACCCTGGCGAGCCTCGTGGAAAGCCGCTGTCTCCGGGCGGGCATGCCCCCTCCCCATCCATCCACCCCCCCACCCACCCACGCACACTTTCCCTCTCGCCCGGGGCAGCTGGTGGGAGGGTGGGGGCTGGGGTGGGGCAGGACCAGAGGGGCCTCAGAGGCAGCAGGGCAGGGGGCTGGGGGAGGCTGGGAAAGTCCAGGCTGTCTCTCCTGGGGGGCGGTGGGCGGCGTGGCGGGGCGCTCACAGGGATGAGGGAGGGAGGAGGGTCGCCGGCCCGGTACAGCTGCGGTCCCCTCCCCAGCAGCCTGCCCGGGTGCAGAAAGGCCTCTTTGTTCTCCGCCTTTAAAGGGTAAGAGAAACACTTATGCATGGCAAATTAGCCCAAAAATGTATTTCTCTAAAACACCCAATTGTCTCACCAGGCCTGCAGCTGCGGGGAAGTTCCAGGGAGCCGGGGGAGGGGGAGGCTTTGGGGTGACCCTGGGGGACAGGGAGAGGCGGCGGAGAAAGAGGGGCCATCTCGCCTTCCCGCCTCTGCTATCAGAATCTCACAGGTGCAGGAGGGCACAGCTGGGGAGGGCCCTGGGGTCAGGGAGACAACCCCTGGTGTTACAGAGAGGGAAACTGAGGCCCAGAGAGGTGGCGTCACAGCGGCAGAGTGAGTGCTGGCCCTAGGGAAAGGGTGGCTCCCGGGTCTCTTGGACTCTCTCAGCTGTACCCACCGCCTTGTCCTTGCTGAAGGGGAAGGGACCCTGCTGTCCCAGGGTCATCCAAGCCAGCCGCCCTGGGTGGCTCTGCTCACAAGCTGCTCGCCCAGCTTCAGTGCCCAGGAAGATGGGCAACTAAGCCCCGCCTCATCTCCAACCGGGTACTTCCGAAGGCCAGCATGCCTGGGGGCCGTGGGGGGCGCAGGCAGAGGCGCCCGATGGGATCCTCCACGAAAGTCTTCTCCCAGGAGCAGGCAGGGGAGCCCCCTTAGTCAGGGAATTGAGCCCAACACATGTGCGTGCATGGTGCTCCCACGCCAGGCACTCTCTCCAGGAGCCGGCGCTGGGTGGGGTCTCGGGAGCATCTCTGGGCTCCCAAAGGCGAATCAGAGACAGCCCTGTCCCCATGGAGCTCCTAGTCCCACAGCGGAGACAGAAGAGTAAATAATAACTACCTATCATGACCGTCCCACGGAGAGGTGAGCTCCAACAGAGAGCCCCAAGCATGGAGGACAGGGTGTGCGGGGCGGTCCTGAGAAGAGCCCCCAGGCTGGGCCCCGAAGGGCACGTCTGAGAGTGAGAGGGGTGCCTCCAGGCAGCAGAATGGCACAAGGACACAACGGGGGGGGCCCGTCCTGAGACCACTCCTCTGACATCAGAATTCAGAGGCGCTGATTTAAGAGCATTCGTTGAGCATCGTCCGAGTTCCAGCCCGAGTGGGAGACGCAGGAGAAGAAGGAAAAGTGGTCCTGACCCCCGGGGTGGGGTGGGGGGGGGTCTTGCCAACTTGACGTAGCGAGCTTATGACACGCACACAAAAACCACTGCGCTGTCGTGAAAAGTGCCAAAAGGAGGGTGCAGAGTCGGGGCCCCCGGACCCTCAGCTCCTGTGAGACCCTCAGCAACCCGGGCTCCTTTTGTGCATCTGTACAACGGGGTGATGACATCCACTCAGGAAGACGGTCATGAGGAGTGAAAAGAGCCAAAGCCATTGTCTCAGCCCCTCCAGAGATCCTCAGTAAACGTTAGCTCTGGTCCCCAGAGAAGTCTGGAAATGAGAGAGATGGGCGAAGGGGGGAGAAGGGGGACTATGTGTGTGGCGGGGGGGGGGCGGCGGTGAGCGTTGTGTGCCGTGATTGCACGCAGAGGTGTGGGTCTGAGTGCGGGTGTCGTGAGCGTGTGCGTGCGTGAGTGGGTGAGTCGTGCCTGCGTGTGACTGTGGGCTGTGCGCGAGCACACGCGCGTGTGAACGAGCGTGCGCGTGCGTCGCGCTTGTGTGCGAGCACACGCGCGGGGGCACGGATGCGTGCGCGCGGGGGCACGTGGGGGTGAGCCCAGGAGGGAGCGTGTGAACACGGGAGTCCGGGTGCACGTGGGGCCTGCCGCGAAGGGATCGCTTCTGGAATGTTTTCCGGGAAAGGGGGCTGAGCCAAACCTCAAAATGTCCAGAAGCCCGGCGCCCTGGAGAGCGTGCTCTCAGGTGGCTGGAGAGAAAGGAGACCAGGGGCCTCCAAGGGGCCAGGAAACACCAAGAAGGGGGACACGTGCCGTGAGGTGGAGGCCTCCTCTCTACCCGGCCTCCCCGAGTTCAAGGTGGCCCCAGCACTGGAGCCAGACCCCCCGGGGAGGAGCAAGTCTTACCTAGTGTCCCCTCCCCTCCCCCTGACCCCCATGCTTATCAGAGGATCTTTGAGCCTTCGTCCTCCCTCCAGGACAGACCCAGGCTCCCCGGCCGGGTCAGCCACACCCTCCAGGGGCTGTCCCTGCCCCTCCCCCACTCTCCCTGCTCCCCTCCTGCCGCCCAGTCTCCTCGACGCACCCCCCCCCCACACCCAGTCTGTGCAGGGACTTCGGAGACAGCCTTCCCGCGGCCCTGTAACGTCTCGTGCTCTTACCTGTACGCGTCGATGACGGTCCTCGTGGCACGCGGTAATCCACAAACCCGTGATTCCCAAACCATGGGAAAAACTTGTCCAAACGCTCGCTCTCTCTCTCTCTCTCTCTCTAGAAGGCACCGGGAATGGGAAGCAGGGACTCGAAGGGATATTTGCCCACCCGTGTTCCCAGCAGATGACTCGCGGTGGCTGACAGGTGAAGAGAACCCGGGTGCCCCTCACCAGGCGAATGGACGACCAAACGTGGTGCGTGCAGGCAACGGGCTGCCACTCGGCCACAACACGGACCAACCTTGAAGACATCACGCTCGGCGAAAGAGCCGGACGTCAGAAGCCGGATACCGTCTGACTGCACCCACGTGAGGACGGCAGTGATTGCCAGGGCTGCGGCGGTGGGGGGCGGGGGGAGCGCAGAACGGGGAGTTCGTGTCCCGGGCCCAGCGCGGGGTGTGAGTGGGACAAAGGGACAGTAACAAATGGCTTTTCTCGGACGAGGTTCCCTCGGGCCCTCCTGTGCTCTGGGGTCACCCGTCACCACCTCCGACCTCAGACCGGGAACGTCCCGAGAAGGGGTGGGACATCCCAGGGGAAACACAGAGTCACCCTGTGGGGTGCAAAAGAAAGTGTCAGAATCTCTTTCCGTGTTTACTCTTTCCCTCGTTACTTTTTTTTTAACGTTTATTTATTTTTGAGACAGAGAGAGACAGAGCATGAGTGGGGGAGGGGCAGAGAGAGAGGGAGACACAGAATCGGAAGCAGGCTCCAGGCTCTGAGCCATCAGCCCAGAGCCCGACGCGGGGCTCGAACTCACGGACCGCGAGATCACGAGATCCCGCGAGATCGCGAGATCGTGACCTGGCTGAAGTCGGACGCTTAACCGACCGAGCCACCCAGGCGCCCCTTCCCTCGTTATTTTGAAACTTCTACCGTGTGTGTATTTAATACAATAGTACTTGTGAATGACCTGCGACTAGATAGGCCTTGAGAGCTGACTTCGGAACTAACTAGATCCTGAGAAATTCCTTTTTCCAGCCTTCACTTTCCGAAACTCAGGAACCACACGTATTTCAGTGATGGCCTCAGGACTCACACCCCGGCGTCTGATTCTTGCCCTCCAGATTCAGGAGCCAAACCACCTCCGATGTGAGGAATATTTGTACGTGTGCCGGGACTTTGCGCCCACATGTTTTCACGGAGGAAGCACCATGAAAAACGGCCAAGTCAGCCACGTAGACCAGGGGGGTGGTGAAGCCTCGTGGCCCCACTTAGCAGCCGGGAGAAGCGAGACCGTCGTTCCCGCGCAGCCAGGAGACAGAGGCCACCAGCCCGCTTTTGTAGGTGACGAAAGCAAGGCTCCGGGGGTTCGTGAGCTTCTCCGGGTTACGGGGCTGGAAGGTGTCAGAGCCGAGACTCAAACCCCCCCGGGTCTCACCCCCAAACCACGCTGTTCCTGGCGGAGGTCCTCCCTCACCAGACCATGAGGAAGAGCTTGGCAAAGGCAGCCCCCGTGGCCACGTTCCCTTTTTGCCAGCAAGTTCAAGGCTGCCCAGCCCCACAACACACACGCACGCACGCACAGGCCCTGCCTGGCCAGTTCTTCCTTGTCTACACACCTTAGTTCAAGGTCACCCTTCCGTAGCCGGGGCTCCCCTAGCCTGGCTTTCCCGTGCTGCCCATTCCCCCCCCCTGGGCGGCAGAGGGCTCCCTGAGGCCTCTCCTCTGTGGTCTGGCGCACAGTGGGGCTCAGCGCATGGTCGTGAGTGGGGGGCAGGCGCGACACACACACAGAGGAGCCCTCCCTTGGCCGTACGCGTGGGCGCGGGACTGAGGCCCCTTCTGGTGCCGACATCCCACAGCGACCCTGACTCCGAGGTCCGCGAACATGCAGCCAACCATCAGACCAGAAAGAACCCAGGGGTAGGAGATGCTGAGAAGGGGCGGAGAAGGAGAACAGAGAGACACAGGGGACGGGGGCAGAGACTTCAAAGGGGCACCCCCTCTTCAGCCCCTGGAAGGTGACAGCAGAAAAGAACCAAGAAACAGATCAGTGTCAACGGGCCTGCAGGGAGGAGGTAGCAGGAATCCTGCAGGTCCGGCCCCGACCTTCTCAAAAGGCCGCTGCAGACCTCGGCGGCAGGGGCCCCACTCACACGACGGGGGCACGCCACCCTCCCCCCTGCCAGTGGCCTGACTTCAGCTGGTGCCCCAACTCCGCGCCCACCGCTGCCCTCCCACGGGGACCCCTCTCTGCTTGCCTGGGGTGGCCCTCCGTTCCTGGGCAGGTGCCGTGCCCGAGCCATCTGGGAGGAAGGCTGTGTGGTCCACGGGGGGGTCATAACCAGGACCCCCAACCTGAGAGTCTCCCGTCAGCAGGCAGCGGGTCACAGGCCCTCAGCTGATGTGTCGTCCAGGGCTCAGATGCCGGTCACGTGGGACGGCCAGGACCCTCAGGGGACGCAGCGGCTGGGGGCTGGAGAAGGCGCACCGGCAGCTCGGGGCTGGAGGGACCGAGAGGACGAAACCTGGCGTCATCCTCCCCACCCCCCCGCTCATCCTGACCCTGCCCACAGCCACACACGTGCCCCTAGACACATGTGCCGTCATCAGCACACCCCCAGACACAAGTACGCCCCCACTGACACCCTCCCAGCACACGCGAACGCACACAAGTCCACTCGTACATTCACACGTCACCATGCAAAGCGCATCTGCCCGCGTGCACAGGAGGAAGGGCCAGATGCCCCCAAGACTGCCCTTTCTCTCCTGTTCGACCCTCTTCCACCCCTTCCCGCCCCTTCCCACCCCTAACAATCTGTTGGCAATCCCCAGGCCAGGGGGCTGGCTCTCGGGCCCCTGAAGAGTCAGGATTTCACGTGCCCAGGCCATCCTGGTCCTCCAGAGGCCAACCCCTCCCCCACGTCTAACCCCCAGCACCTCATCACACACAGCACGCCCTGGCCTCCTCCATGGGCTGCCTGGAGCCAGGACCTTCCTCCTTGCCCTGCTGTGCTCTCCTGGCACACCCGGGTGCTGCCGGGTCCGCTGAAGGCTTCCAGAGATCGGAGTCTGCCAGGAAAACCTTGGTGGACGGAGCTACTAGGGAACAAGACGCAAAAAAGCGCATCTGTTCGGGAGGTCAGCCCCAACACAGGTCAACTAACACTCAAAGACAGAGCCTCAGAGGGAGCCCCGACCCTAGCTAGGGAGCGTCAGTCAAACCTGGGTGATAGCCTCAGCCCTGACCCCAGCCTGAGCCTAAGGCCTGACCCTGACCCTGGCCCCGGCCTGTAGCCTGAACCTAAACCCAAAATGAATGCGTATAAGCCTCGAACTTGGCCACAGACTGGACCCTGATCCTGACCCCCAAAATAGGCCCTTATCCTGGTCACAGCCTGAGCCTTGACTCCAGAATGAGCCGTCTGTGACACTGTCTATAAACTGAGCCCTCTTGCAAACCCTCATCCTGACCCCAGACTGAATGCTTATCCCGGCCTGAGCTTGAACCCTGATCTTGACCCCACACTGAGCCCTTGCCCTCTTCCAAAATGAACCTTTGCCAGAGCTACAGCCTGAGCCCTGACACTGGCCCCAGGTCGAGCCCTGGTCCTGCCCCCAGCTGAGTGCTAACTCGGACTGCAGTCTGGGTTCTGAGCCCATACACAACCTGAGCCCTGGTCCTGCCCCCTGCTGAGTATTAACCCTGATCACAGCCTGAACCTGAGCCTTAAGCCAATCTTCTCGAAATACTCTGCCTTTATTCATATGAGGAATGGTCCTCACCGCTTTCTCAAGCACAGAAAGTCCTAGCTACAGTCTGAGAAGATCTGGAGAGCTTTCTACAGAACCCACAGGACAGCCATTGCCATGTGGCAGGACGGGGCCTATCATTCCCATTTTACAGGTTCTCAGGGAGGCTAAACTTGTTCCATGTGGTTCCGATGAATAGCACTGGAACCAAAAAGCAGAAGCTATAAGGAGACAGATTTAAAAAGAACTTTCCCGGGGCACCTGGGTGGCTCAGTCGGTTAAGTCTCTGACTTGGGCTCAGGTCATGATCTCGCGGTTCGTGAGTTCCAGCCCCGCGTCGGGCTCTGGGCTGACAGCTCGGAGCCTGGAGCCTGCTTCGGATTCTGTGTCTTCCCTCTCTCTCTCTCCCCCTCCCCCGTTTGTGCTGTCTCGCTCTCTCTCAAAAATAAATAAACACTAAAAAAAAAAAAAAAAAAAGAATTTCCCAAAAGTCTGGGCTGGGCCAGGACCAAAGGAGCCACGTGTAGACTGTGGATCACTGGAGATGTGCCAGCAGAGGTGGGTGATTTGCTGCCGGTGCTACAGAGAGGCCCAGGAAGTGGCAGGGACAGGTCCACAGCCTCCGAGGGCTCTGCCAGCCCCGAGATGTCGAGGGGGCGTCACGTCTCATTCAGGTGCCCTGTACTCTCTCCCCTGTCAGCCCAGCAGCCAGACCTGGAAGGGCCTCAGGGTCCTGCCAACTGATGAGGGAGAGACCCAAGCCAGCCAGGTGGGACCGGAGTTCCACCCTCCCCTGTTCAGGCTCCTCTCCCTACGCCCCCGCCCCCCGTCAAGGCCCGGACTAGGCCTAAATGGGAGACGAGGCCCACCTTGCCAAGTTGGCACTGGGCCCCATCACTCTGGGAGCAGTGCTGGGCCATCTGTCCCGTGGACCTCTGCCCCAGGCTCAGAGGTACAGACCCAGAAGTGGGGAGGAGATGCCCCCGTTTCCAAAATGCCAGGATAGCCCTTCTCCCCCAACATCCCCATCGCGGACCCTGGACATCGAGACCCAGAGGGGTTTAGTGACCCGCCTTGGGTGGCACAGCCAGGCAGGGGCACCTCGGGAGGCGGACCCCAGACCCCGGCACCTGCCCCACTCTGGCACGGCCCCACAGATGCCCAAGGAGGGCTGGAGGGTGGTGGGGGCACCTGGTGCCAGGCGGCAGAGGCCGGGGCGGGGGGCTGCCGGCCCCTCGCACCGCCGCCCCCTTCCCCCTCCGCCCGCACCCCGGCCTGGCTCCATCCACCCGAGTGCCCAGCTGCCGGCACATCCGCCCAGGCCCAGACATCAATCCACACCAGGGCCCTTGCTCCCTCTTTCTTTTCTGCCCTCCTCTTCCCTCCCCAACTCACGTCTTTTTTTTTTTTTTTTTTTTTTTTCTCCTCTCTCTCTTCCAACATGTCATTACAGTAGAAACAAAAAGCGCGGGAACAATGCGGGCATTGACGGCGGCCCCCTCTCGGCCCCCTCCCCCCGCGGTGCGTGCCAGCACTCTTTCCACCCGCCCAGGGCTGGAGCCTCTGCCAAAGGAGCCCTGCTAATAAACAAGAGGAACCAGATAAACCAGGA